AAAGATTTTGACCATCGCACTTGTTTTCTGAAAGCATTACTTCCTGAAGTTTTTTCCAGTTTATCCTTCACAAATTCCATTGATGTTTCAGCACCTGCATGTGAACACACACACACACACACACACACACACACACACACACAGAGTTCTTATGGACTCACAGCTGCAAGGTTCCTGTCACTTTTTCTTCTGAGTTTCAATGACATAAACACACAGTGGTCAGGCCAGCACTCAACCTTATGCTGCCTGCAGTAAATGTTTCTTTTGCCACTTTTTTTTTTTTCTCATTTTGAGTTCCCTCTTGATAACTTCAGGTTACTGCTTTGTACATTGTGGGCTTTTAAAGGAAGGATATGAGGAAAATAGATTTATTATTTTGGTTAAAGAACAATATACATACTTACTATGAAAACTTAATTGGTGAAGAGAAGTGCCCAGATATTTAAAAATCTCCAAAATATTGGCATCTGGGTATAGCTACTATCAGCATTTTGTGACACACCCTAACAGTTATGTCTTTGTGAACATAGATGTAATATGTACACAGATGGATGTGTGTATGTTTTTAACACATGACCTTATACTATTCTGACTGTTGGACACCTTACTTTTCTTCAGTAAGAGACTTAGCCCCTTTTCCATGTCAACCAGCATGCTTCCATGCAATTCTTAATGACTGTAAAGTTGTTAATATGGACATAGCATAGGTTATGTCCTAGTGTGGAACTGATTGAAGTTTGTGGTTTATGGTTTTCTGTCTCGGTGATATGTCTTTTGATCTTTCTAAAACAGTAAAGTTTTAAAAATGAAAAAACCCAATTAAAGCATGGACACTCATGGACTCGAAATACTCATAAAAGAAGAGAAAATTTACTGAAATGTTGAGTACTTTTTCTAGGAAACTGTGAAATTCAAATTGTTAGTTATGGCCTTCAGTAGCACCACTCAACTCTCGAAAGTATCAGGAAATTTTACACATGAATAAAAGGAACAAAAATCTTAAGGAGCTGTTTTGGGGGAATAACCTTTGCATGTATTCGTGAGTGTAAAAAGGATCATTGCTGTCTCCCTCTGTCCTGCTGGGTACTAACTACCTGTCTTTCTCTGTCCCCAAATTACTATGGGATGCTTGTCTAATTTAAAATACTACAAAAGCCTTTTCCTTCCTGCCAAGGTACAGAGAAGACCAGTGTCTTCTACTTCTTGGACAGTAGTTTGCTTAGGAAACTACAAGGTTTAATGAAAGGGCCTGCAGCTATGGATTATTTCGAAGCCTACTTGAAAACATTTTGGTGTGTTTATTTCTTTCCCACTTCACTTTATTTCAGAAAAGATTTGACATGGGTTACAAAGATGTACACGGTGTAACTGGATAAAATTTCTTAGATGAGAAAAAGAAGGTAAAAGTCACATAAAGGTAGGAAAGTAAACAGGAAACCAGGAGAGTATGCAATTACCTTGGTTAATAGTCCGCAGCCTTGGCATGTAGATGATTTTGTCTGTTTCAGCAGCAATTTTAAGTCTTACAGACCTCTTCAACATGGACCTCAGATTTGGTCCTGAGCTTGGCATGGTGGGAATACAGCCTTATTGATTTTATGATTAGAACACAAACTCTGTACTCAGAAGAAGCCCAAATATTCCTGATATGGAGGTCACAGAGAGAATTAGAGATTTTTAACTTAGAGAATGTTGCAGCTGGAAGGACCTCAAGGGGTCAGCTCCTTCTAGCCTTCCTAGGGTCAGCGAGGCCTTGTAATTGTGCTCTACAGTAAAGAGGACTCTGGTGGGGGCAGTGACTGACTGGGAGTCAGGCACGTAACCTCTTCAATGCACCGTTGCCTTGTGTGCCAAATAGGAATAAGGATTCGTTTTTTTTCCTTACAAGGTTGTCATTAGGATTGTTAAGATATTGCAAGGGAGAGCAATGCAAATCAAAACCACAGATTCCTCTTTCTGCCTACCAGGATGGCCATAATAAAAAGGCAGACAATAACAAGTGTTGACAAGGATGTGGAGAAATTGTAATAGCCCCCATCCAATGTTGATGGGGATATAAAGTGGTATAGTCACTTTGGAAAGTAGTCTGGCATTTCCTTACAAGATTAACACATGACCCAGAAATCCCACTGTGGGTACATACTGAAGAGAAGTCAGAAGGTCTGTACACACAAAAACTTACATGTGAGTGTTCATACCAGTGCTACTCATGGTAGCTCAAAATGGAAATTACTCATCTGTCATCAGCTAGTGAATGGAAAGATGGACCAGATATGGTACGATTCCATATATGAAATACCTGGAATAAGCAAATCCATAGAGACAGAAAGCACATTAGTGATTGCCTAGGGCTAGAGGCCAGGGGGAAATGGGGAGTAACTGCTAATAGACATGGAGGCTTCTTTTTTGGGATGATAAAATTTTTCTAAAATTGCGCTGATTTCTGCGTAATTATGTGAGTATACTAAAACTGTTGACTTGTACACTTGAAGAAATTGAATTGTACGGTAGGTGATCATGTCTCAATAAAGCTAAAAGACACATAATGTAGGGCACAGTTGTTAGTATTGTACAATAAGAAGTATATTAAGTAAACATCCAATAAATATAGGCTTTAAAACAATTAAGAAACTGACTTATCCTGATCATGTCAATACCTTTGTTTAAATTAGAACCCAGGTCCCTGGAGCCTTAACTCAGCAGCCTCCCCCTGTAGCAGAGCCCTGCCAAGGCCACCGTGGACTCTGCTGCCCCTATTAATGGGGTTCTCAGTAGTTAAGACTTTCATTGGCTTTCTTTTCATCTTAAATCTTTCTATTATAATAATTTTTAAGTTTTCCAGTTGCAGATACAGTAAAAACCTTGAAATAGCAACATTTTCAATTAGCCAGAATAAACCTCTGGAAGAATTAACTCATGGTTTTCCCAGGTATCGACTTTTCAGCCCATCCAAGAATTCCCCAGGAGTTTCCTCTCATCCCTTTTCTCCACATGGCCTGTGCTTCATCCTTTCTCTTTTGTACTTCTTCACTTGAAAAAAGGCTGGAGTGAAAAGCAGTGGAAACACTTGTCTCTCGAGCTTTCACAGCAGCAAATCTGGCATAACTTTCAAAATTGTTTCATTGGGGTGAAGGAAAATTTGGGTTTCCTACTCTAGTTTTTGGTATGGTATTTAAAAAGATGCATTCTTGGCTCCTGCATTTGTTCATTGCCACCTCTTTATCACATAAAGAAACTACGAAGATCGGTATCGATCTGATACTCTTAATTCAGTGAAATCCAGATTTGTATAGTGAAATTATATTGGTTTGCTACAGGTTGATGTTGAGAAACATACAAATTATCAGGTAGGGATGTAGCTCAGTGGTAGAGCACTCCTGGCTTACACTTTGGTCCCCATCACCTCAAAGACACAAACCACACCAGTTATTATTTGAATTCATTGAGAAATATGAATGTTTCACTTAAATTTTATAAAGCTTAGTGCCTTAGAAGATGTGGTTGAGGGTTTGATAAGTACATGAGGACCTTTAAACTTTCTGAAAATTAGATTTCAAGAATACCTAGGCTTCTAGGATAGCTCTCTTCTTTCAAGTAGTTGAGGAATAAAGCATTAGAACTCCTCTTTGGAGCATAAAAGTAGCCACCAAGCAATGAACATTAATAAAAAGCTAATGAGGATGTCGACTCTTCAAGTGTGATTTCACTTAGTAGCTGTTGAAACATACTGTTAGATGTTAGGTTACTATTGATTATTATGTGCTGGCTATCACTGTGGTATCAGTCACCCCAACTTACTTGATGAACTCATTTTTTATTGTCTCCCATAGTTTTGCGGTATGCTTTCACCCAGCTCGGTGGCTCTAGGCTCCCCTCCCTGCCTGGCCGGAAGCCACTGAAGATGGTGATTTCCTGCGAATGTAACTGAGAGGAGTGCTCTGTGCCATACCTGCCCCTTACCCATGAGGCCTCTCTTTCTCACTGTGTAGTGACTGGGTTACCCATTTTGGAACACAGCCTGTACAGTCACCTTTTTAGTAAAAGGCAGTAAGAGGAGGAAGAGACAAGAAATAGGAGAAGAGCCCCAGGGTTTCACAGTATATGGCAAGTTACATGGCAGAAGATAAAAGCAGGGGATAAAACGGTTCAGGTGGAGATGTGGAGGGGGCATGGCAAACAGCCCCTGGTAAGTAGGGTGTCCCTGGTGCTTATTGGGGCCACAGTCACTGGAGATGCACTGAGCTCATGCCCTTCACAGTATCCCTGTCACAACTGCGTAGCATTAACCATTCACTTTCAGGCTCTGAGAAACTGAGTCCAAGCTCCAGCTGCTACAATGAGTCAGCCAGAATAGCATATGGAAAAGTGTACCAGGTATAGGGTCAAAACCACCTTGTGGTACAGATTTTTAGATTCCCTTTGAGGAGAAAGAAAGGATATTAGTGGAAATGATTGTGCCAGTCTTGAATGAGGACACACATGGATGCTTAGGGCTATCCTTTCTCACCACCTCCGTTCCTTGCAAAGGATAATTGTTTTGATTGTTAATAATATATACAATTGATTTTAAAAGTTGTGTATTTATGAGGTACCCATAATATGTTAGGCAGCATTCTAGGTTGGAATATTTGACTAAAACTGAAAGGGAGTAAATCTAGTCATTACACAGCATCAGTTTATGCAGTCATTTCACTTATCCCACATAAATTCTGAGAATCAGTGTTAGTTTGCTGTGAAGCTTCTAGAAAATCATGTAGTGTCTACAAGTCCTTTTAATCAACTCTATCAGTAATGCTCATCTGCATAGCTCTTATAGATATTAAGACACATATGTAATATAAAACATTTTATATATAATATAAAAAAGAACACACTAAGTACTTAGTAAATGCTCAATATCACTTTTACTTTCAGTTCTTTTATAGATTGTGATTCAAACATATAGTCTCACTTATAGTCATATAATGTACTTGTATAATTTTTTAAGCATTGAATGACTCTGTGCATTTATTCATTCCACTAATCTTGATAGATTGCTTAGAGTGTCCTGGTTAGTGTTCCAGGTGCTTGGGCCTCATGGATGAACCAAAATCCCTGTCCTGTACCACCTACAAAAAGAGGATTTCTCTGTGAAAAGATGTGGAAATGTGTAAGACTTGGTGAAAAGGTGAAATGGATAACATGAACCAATCTCACACTTTCATAAGGGCCACTTTAATATTTCAGACAGATGTAGCGTTCAGAGTTTGAGTGACTAAAAGCCACGATGTGGTAGAATTTTGGCATTCTCAAAGAAATCACCTCTGGATGATTCCCTGATGCTGCCAGGGAGCTGGTGAAGGTGCTCTACTGGGTGGTGCTCGTCAGCTTCAATCCTGGCTGATTTTTAGAAAGTCAACTTTAGTAATGGCACCTATAGTAGTGTGTAGTAAGAAAAGATCACAGATTAATAAGTTAAAAGTTTATCCTTTTCTCTCCCCTATATTCTTTTGGATACAATTACACCTATTGTAAGCCCCTCCGTCCACATTGTGCTCATTGATTCAACCTTTCTATTCATAAGAGTATAATTCAGAATATGAATATGAAAAGAATCTCATAAGGAAGTTTATCTTTTAACTCAGACTTTATATCATTAATGCTTTAGATCTCATTATAACATTATAACCTGAGTGCCCATCTTTCTTCCTATGTGGAGAGCTTAGAGAAAAACTGTGGCCTGGTGGCGTCTTCATCCATTCATCATCAGTGTTCATAATGATGATCTCAGATATCCAAAAATAGCTATATTAGGCTGCCCATTTCAAGGAAAATAGATAAAGAGTTTTTAAATTCTGCATATTAATTTGTTCTCTGGGAGTTTTTGAAGATGAGGATGCATTCAGTTTTGTTTTTTTCCAGACTAGAATTCAGTACAAATAAGCATTTTTGATCATATACTGTAAGTTTTGGGCCGTGGACCAAATGTTTCACATTATTTTTATCCATCTATCTAATAACCTAGCAAGGTAGTTATCTCTGTTACAGATGTGGAAACTGATTAAGTAAGGACAACTAAGAGGCAGTCATGTCGAAACTTAGTTTCACATCTGATTGAGGCAGAAGGCTTTGTGAGGGTAACCACTGTACTGTACTGTCACCCTTTGGAAGGATTCTCATTTCCTCCTTCTTTTCTTTATTTCTCAAATTTTCTATAATTAGTATGAATCGATTATATGTTAAAATATCAAAGAATATAACAATACATGTAGCACAGATTTAAAAACATTTTTGTATGCAGTGTGAAAATATAAATGTGAGCCTGAACACTATAACCTTATGCTTAGCAATTACAGTAAATAGATATTATAGTTAATTCTTAAGAATACAAGAGACATACAAGTATTTAGTTTCAGTTTTTTTAAGGAAAATAATATGTATTGATTTAAGACTTTTGTACCAGATTTTAGAGTGATTCTCGTAGTTCATTGTCAACACAATTAGAGAACTGTCTTTTCACATCCTTCATCTTAGTGTAGGCATTTTTGCCTCTAGGAAGGTCATAGGTGATTTCTGAGGAAGTATGATGAGTAAAGGAAGAGGAAAGAACATGGATGGCATAAATAATTGAATCACTTAAAGATAATTTCTTTCATTCTCCATAAGGCCACCCCATTTCCCACAAAAGCCTCTTCTTTTCTGTTGTTGAATTTACCTAAAGATCCCTTGAAAGTTTGCCTTTGTGACTCTTGGGTGGAACCCAGGAATCTGCCTTCTTAGCAAATGACGTAGTTAGCTTTATGACCAGGCATATTTGAGAACTTCTGGGCTAAACAAAAAGCCCACCTGAAGGGAAGCAGTAGGAAGTGAGCTGGTAATGCTGGATTGGGTCCAGGATGTAAAGAGCCTTACCTCGTAAGCTGTGGCCCTGTGGGACATGGGACATGGTGCTCCAAATTGTGAGGAACCTGTGATGGGTGCTCTGAAGACAGAGAAGACCAGAATTAGAATTTAGGTAAGAAGGAGTGGGAGCAGGGAACAATGTGAAGGAGAGGTGCAGGCTGGCAGATGCTGTGAAGACATCTAATCAAGAGGGAGCAAAGTCTGAACCAACTTGTGGCAAAAGTGTAAGGAGGAATGAAGTAATGACATTGAAGTGCTAGAATTCTAAGTAGAAGACTACATGTGGGGATAGGCAGAGGGGGAAACTACAGGAGGAGATGGAGGCTGCACAGACCGTAGGACGGCAGCACCTTTTACTAAGGTGGTGTGAACCAGAGGGGGAGAGATCAGGTGTTTGTGAGCATGCATCTGAGTTTGAAGTTCCATTGGGACTCCCATTTGAAGGTCTCCAGTAGGCAGACAGGTGTGTAGCTAGAGAGAGACTTTGACTGAGAGAGTTATATTTAGGAGTTTTCCCCATGGAGGTGATTATGGAAGCCATGTGATGATGAGATTGCCATGGAGGACATTACAGAAAGAACAATGAAGTCCTGGGAGAATGGTTGGGGAATGAGGAGGATGCAGAGAGCTGCTGAAGGGAAAAAAGAAAATGCTGTCACAGGAACTTAGGAATCAGAGGTAGTCAGTGGTTCTGAGTGCTGCAGAAGGTTAAGGACAGTGAGGGCTTACAGAAGGGCGTTGGATTTGGCTCACTTTCATAGTCAGGGGAGAAGCTGGACAGTCTGAGATGAGTGAAGAGATGGTGAGGAAGTGCAAGTGGGATAATTGTCAAAGTTTGATGTAAAGGGCTAGAAGAAGAGTCACAGCTTAGGATGTGTGGGAGTTTGTGAGGTCAGTGGAGTCAGTGTTTATCTAAAAGCTCACTATGGGGGAGAGGAGACATTGCAGATGAGTAAGCTAGAGTGTGAGCTATGGAGGATTCTAGAGGGCGGTGGTTCACAAATGCATTGATTCATTTGATACACATTGATTTCTTTCACACAGCAGTGCTAGGACTGTGGTAAGGGTATAGGGATAGGACTTGATCTTAGCCTGTGAATATTGAAAGAGAAGAATGAAAGTTGATGGTGTGAATTTGAGTCTGGGTGACTGGGAGGATGATGGCTCCACAGATTACGGGAGGACAAACAAGCATCAGGATCAGTGCTGTGATGAGATGGTGTGTAGCATGATGGGGAGTGTAGGAGGGAACAGGGTGTGGTGGTTGAGGACTTTGTGGAGTGTAGGTTGGATGGCAGTTTCCCTTCTCCAGAAGGCAAGGAAGCTCATCTCAGGTGGAGGGACAAATGTGGGCAGATACTTACAAGTGGGTTAGTAAAGTCATGTTTTTGTGATGGTGACAGAGAGAAGACTTGCAGAAATGAGGCTGGAGGGGTCGCAGGAGCCAAACACAAAGTATTTGCGTATCTTGATGAGGAGCGTGGCTTTTGTTGTTGTTATAGTTTTGTTTTGTTTTCTGAAAGCCCTGCGGAATTGTGATAAGAGTTTAAGCACAGGCAAACAATGCTCCAGTTTGCCTATAGAAGGAGCTCCAGGCAGCAGGGTGCTGGTTGGTAAGGACCAAGAGTGGGCAGGCCAGTAGACTGGGGTCTAGTGTCACTGAGAGTTGGAAGGAACTTGGGTGGAGTAGGCAGAGAATAGGCAGGAGAGAGATTTAGCAGGTAGAGTTGACAGGACTTAGGTTTAAAAGGTTTTCCTGGACATCAGAGGTTGGGGGCAGGGGGGAAGAAAGACAGGTGAAAATTTGTGGAAAAACTAAATGGGCTTTCTGACTTCTAACTTAGAGACTGGAAGGTGGGAGGAATCATTCTGAAAAGATGAGGAATATTCTGAATGTGTTGAGCTTGAAGTACTTATGGGAGATCCAGATGGAAAAGCCCAGCAGGCAGGTACAGTGTTTGCAAACCGCCACAGGGCACGGCCTGGAGAGAGAAATCTGGACGCCCAGAGCACTGGAGAGGAGCTGTCACCTCTGTGAGCTTAGCAAACACACAGCCTCTTTGTTCAAGAATGGACTGTCGTTCAGTTTTCTGAGTATCTTGTCTTTTTCTTAGCCATCTACAGTTTGGCAATTGAACCGTTACTGTGGTTAGGGAAAAACACAGCAAAACAGTTTGTTATTGCTTAGCAGATCCTTGATGAAGACTAGACCCTAAGAAGAGGATTAGATCCAGTAGTGGGGCTTGGATTACTTGAGAAACTCACTTTTATGCTCCCCTCCCCAAGCCCTTAGCGTGGACCCTTGAGGCTTTGATTTTTAAAATGTATTTTACTTTTATTAACCCCATATGAATATATGACTATGCTATTTCTTGGTTTCTTTTAAAATCAGTGGCTGGTCAGATACTGTCTTTGTTAGGAAAACACATGAATTAGAATATATGGTTTTCTAGAATCTTTTACAGGGAAATCTATATTATTTATTTTGCTGCTCTGGCAATCTCTTTTTAGTATGAAATAAATTAGCAAAAGTAGAATTGATGGCCCTTTGGAGTATTGAATTGAAGCACAGTTGAGACATTGCCCCAGAAATAAAAGTTCTGTCTGGAGCCTTTTTATACTGGAGCCTGCAACATAGCTTTCATTTATTACTGAGAATTAATTTTCCGTGATGCAAAGGGCAGGAGTCTTATCATTGTGGAGGTAATGTGTTTTGTTAGCAATAGGAAAACAGTGAAGCTCTTAGCCTGTCCTTTAGGTTGAAAAAAATAACATTTCAGTCAGAAGTTGCTTGAACAAATATGATGGCAGCTTCCTTGGACTACTTGGATTCTTTATTTAGACCCTATTTTGAATAGATAAACTGAAAAAGACATTTTTAAGATAGGGAGACAAAATTGAACATAGACTGATTGTACATTCTCCTAAAGAATTGTTGGTAAATTTGTAGGATGTGAAGTTGATAATTTTGCTCAAGTTTGAAAACTTTTGTCTTTAGAGATACATACTCACATATTTACAGGTAAAAATGATACGAAGTGTGGGATTGTCTTTAAAAATGGTGAGGCAGAAAGAGTTGGGGTGTAGGTGTTGATAATTGTTGCAGGTGGGTAGATAAGGTGCCCTATACTATTCTCCCCTTACGAACATTTCCATTAAAGAAAAGTTCAGCCAAAATGCAGGTGGTAGCCAAGAAGATGGCGGTGTTGAAGATCTGTCTCTCCCATTTTTGACATCTGTATGGCCCTTGTCACTCTCCCTGCCCAGTGGTGACAGACAACTTGCTGTCTGCCCGACGCAAGGTGACGCCTCTGCAGTTAAACTGTGTTTGGGTGATGCTAAGGCCATCCCACTCAGACTCTGGCAGTTTTCTGGGCAGCTTGAATCTCATCCTCTGCAGAGGCTTTAGCCTACAGTGGAAATGGGAATGTTGAGAATTCCTTGCCTCCTCACATTTTTGTGACTTTTGAAAGAGTGAGATATAGGTTGAGAAATTGGGAGGAGTGATCTATAAAGAGAGCAGGAAGAGGAGACAGTAGAACTTTAAATATGAGCCATGCTTCTGAGTAGCGTCATTGTGATGAATCCTGGGTTCCTCTTTGGAGTTCACATTTATGCTGTAATCAGAGCCTCCACCTTTTCAAACCAAAGTATAAATGAGTGCTATGTGTGTGTGTTTGTGTGTGCACATGCGAGCACTTTCTAACTTCTAACTAACCTCACATCTAACTAAGTCTCTCTGCCCTTCACAGAGAGCAAGGTAGTGAAATGAAGTGATTGCAAAGGAAAAGGTTTCCACGAACCAACACAGACCTGTTTGCTTTTTTGAATTATTCCCAGTGTGGTAGGATGCTAATATGTCTTCTCAGAGGCAGATGGGTTTATTCCTTTCCATGATCAGCTCCACTGTTACTTGGGCGTTTAGAACTGTGCCTTTCCTCTCAGGATCTTCACGTGCTGAGAGGAAGGCCCAGAGTTTGCTTGACACTAGCTGCTGCTTTGCTTAAGCAGATCTAATAAATTAAGCCTTTCAACTTCCCTGAACTCAGCCCTATTAGCTGCAGTGAAAGGATCCATGAGGGCAGAGGATGATTGTTTTCTGAGTATGTGATAGTATGCTTTTGGGTCTCATGGTGAGGTAGTTTGGCCCAGGAGATCCTGTGTCTTATGTTTTAGCCTAGGACTCTTCATTCCTTCCTTTACTCCATGAATACTCTTAAGACCTATCTGGTACCAGTACTGGGTGTTGGTCCCCAGAGTTGAGGATTCCTTCACAGAGCAGGGCTTTCTGGTCACTGCAGCAGATTTCGCTTATGTTGGTTCTGGGGATCATGGACCTGAGGAGCTTGTGAGGGTTTCAGAAACTAACAGAATCTTCTTCATTTGCCTTTTCCCGCAAATCCCTTCTTGGCCTCTGTGTACCCACGGACTTACCTGGTTGGGACTTTGGAGGGAGAAAGACCCATTTCCCTTCCTCCTCCCTTTTTCCTGCAGGATATTGGGTCACCATGGTCCTGCCTGCGTGAGGGAGAAATGTGCTGGTCAGCATTGCATTGGGGCAGATAGGTGAGTCTCTAAATCCAGCGCTCAGTTCATGAAGCAAGGCCCCTTACCCAGTGGTGAAACCACATTCTTGAATATCACCTTCAAGGTGATAATTTTGGTCCTAATATTCTTATTGGTCTTATTTTTAACTTGGTGCAGAACTAAGGAGAAAGGTGTTTTCTGTTGGGGCTCCTTTAACTGTGTACAACACAGTGAAAAAAAGTCCCCCTTCAGCCCAGCAGCTGTCACCCCATCCTGTAAAGCCCTCCAGAGATACTGTCTGCATATACAGATTTGCCTAGAAGTGGGCGTGTGTACCTCTCTGTTTTCTTTTACAAAATGATGGACGTTATTCTCCATTAGCTTTTTCTACTTATGATATATCTTGATGGTCCACTTGATGCTTTTAATTGGATATACACAGTGTATTAATTTTGTAGTCAAAAAGAATAAACCTTCCATTTGAGCCTCACAGCCTTATAAAAAGCAAGAAACTGTAGAATTCTGTTACGAGGGACATGGATGGCAGCTGCTTTCCAGGCTTTCTTTTTCATATGGAAGAGACATGTTATGTATCTTGGTCTAAGCAGTTGATAACACTTGGCTTTAGATAATGGCGAACACACTGGAAATTCACTGTATGTGGGTGCACCTTTTCTGTCATTTAATCAGGTGCTGCAAGCTGAATAATAACTAAAATGTATCTGTAGGGTAGTTAGCAATAATTTTTATGAGGAAACTTCTTGGTACAGACATTTAAAAGTTATTTGAAAGTATAGCAGAAATGTATATGTCTCAAAATTAGATATCTTAGGGAAATCATAATATGACAACAGTCTTCTGTATTATATTCTATGTAAAAGTGGCTGAGTCTGGATACAGTTTTCAGCCCACAAAAATTAATGCATTTGAGTATTTTTCCAAGCTTTTTTCCTGGGTCATTACTCTCTAATGAGAGTTAGGTCTTGATAGGACATTTATAAAGGTGGTTCTATTACTCAAACTTAACATAAGTGGTGTTTTAACCAATAACCCATAATCTTGGTGTTAGGTGTCTTTTCAAGGTAAGAATCCAGTCTCTGTTACGATAGCTCATATCACTGTAGTTGCTTTTCATCTTAATGTCCTTTCTGTTCAGTTCCTCTGTTTCACTTGGAAACATTACCATATTCCGTTAACCCAGTGGATGATGTTATTGGTATTGTTCTTCTGCTAGATAATTTGCCTTTTATACTCATAGTGAGGCTGCTGGATTTAATGTTATCAGTCAGGCTTCAACCAGAGAGACAGAGCCAGTAGGAGACCTATAAAGAGATTTATTGCACTGAACTGGCTTGCTAGACTGTGGGGCCAGCTGGGTGAGCTTGAAATCCGCAGGGCAGGCTGTTGGGAGGGGAAGCTGGAACTCTGGGACATGGTGCAGCCTCCTGTCCTCACATGGAATTCCTTTTCCAGGGAAGTCTCAGCTCAGTTTGCAAAGCTTTTCAACCGATTGAATCAGGCCCACCTAGATTATCAAGGATAATTTCCCTTCCTGTCTAGTCAATTATGGGCTTTAATTGCATCTAAATATCTTCACAGCTACAGCTAGATTAGGGTTTGATTGAATAACCATGGATTGTAGCTCGCCAGGTTGACCCTGAAACTGACCCCCACCCTGTGCTTCTCTGTTTCTTGTTAGATTTCTCCCAGTTCCAGCACTCAGTCCTCCCAGCCATATGCACTTGGCTGTGTGCTTTTGTTTTGCATTCTCCACCTCTCCTTCTTCTGCAATTATCTCATAACTTACTGCTGTAGCCCGGCAGCTTCGGCTCTGCTCCAGTGCCAAATATTATTTTCTTTTTTTTCTTTGGTTTTACGAGAAGTGTGTTTTCTTATCTGGATTATTTATCTTATCAGGACAGACCCTTCCTATTGTTTTCTTTATTAGCTAAAGTTACAGATCAGCTTGGCACCCAATCTAGCGGGAGCTTTAGTTCCCAAAGACAATACTTGCAAAATCGAATGCTGCTTTCTTGGCTGGTGGCTGTTGTCATTGTTCTTTGTCACCCTAACTTGGGGAAATGCCATATTGTAGAATTGATAAGACTGAAACAGAATAAGAAATCTAATTGCTTCTCTATGCTTTGTGCTGTTTCTTTAGAAGAGTTCCCTTCCAATTTCCAGAACATTCTCTTTGAGCCAGTGCCCTTTCATGTAGTTTTCCAAAGTTGCAAAATTCCAGTGTCAGTATCCGAAGAAAAACAATTATCAAATTTGATTTTTTTCACATTAGAAAATGGTAGTGCATAATAAGAAAGTTGCTACAAAGTATACTTTACTAAACTAGCCCAGTGTTTTGAATCATTTCTTAAGAACTTATAAAAGCCTCTTGTTTCTCTAGAATTTTTTTCTAATTGTAGAAATTTTTCATAATTTCATATCTTTATTCTTCCCTTTTGTACCCTAGAGAAGAGAATGCCAGATTTTAGCCGAACTAGATAAGCAAGAGGGCAAAAAATGTTAATGGGAATCACTGGTTAAAAGGCCCAAGGTTTAGCTGAAGCCACTTACCTATGATGAATAGAAATAGGATTTTTTCTTCTTTATATTTTAATGTGTAATAACATAGTCAGCTGGAAATAATTTGCAAGTATAGATTAAAACCTGAATGTTCAGAGGCCCAGAACGTCTAGAGATGGAGAACACTGACCAAGAACCAAGGTGTGTAGACTTGCTTCTGACATGGCAAGGGTGTCATGTATAACCTGCTGATTTGCAAAGAGTTACTAAGTATACAGACATGAAATTAAATTCAACAGATCACTCTATCAACAGGCCTTGTCTTGATTACATATTTCCATGTAACAGATCACCCTAAACTTAGTGGCCTAAGAACATCAAAAACAGTTCTTTCCTTAGGTTTCCCACTTTTTGGGTCAGGGATTCAGGAAAGCCTTGGCTGCTTGATTTCAGGCCTCATGCAGCTGCAGATAGATGGTCAGGCCCCCTCTTCATGGAGCTTGTTGGAGCTGCCTGGCAGCCTGGAGGCCACAGAGCAGTTGGGATGCAAAGTGAAAGTTACATGGCCTTTTCTGGTCCAGGCTCACTTCTTCTGTGTTGTTTTGGCTATAGATAAGGCACTAATCCACCCAGATTCAAGCAGGTAGCAGGGTGGCAAAATCCTAGATGAACCTGTGGGAGAAAAGATGTTGTTAAGGGCATTTTTGGAAAAAAAAAAATCTGCCCTCTATCTTTCCTCTGGCAAGGAATGTTCACATCTTTGCATGTACAGAATATACTCTCATGCTCCAAGACCCTCCAGAAGTCTCATCTTGTTAATGCTGTGAGGCTCAAAGCAAAGGACCTTGTCATCTAAATCAGGACTTAGTACCATAAGGCTCCTCAGGATCAGGACATAGCACCTCGAGTGTCATTCTTGATCTGAAGCCCCATGCACTAAAGAGACATAGCTGCCAGATACCCACCCAAAATATGACAGTGTTATGCATATCTTACAGGCAGATAGAAAGGACTCTAGTCCCTGGCAATTCTGGAATCTAGCAGGGTGCATGGAGCCATTTTCTTGCCCAGAGCTCTGTTCTCTGTGGCTCTGGGTCCTGCTATCTGGGTTCTTAGTTTTACTCGTTAAGCCATCCTTCCTTTTCTGTAGGAAAGAGGTGGTGTTTGCCTCTTAGCAGTCTTCTCAGGTTGCTGCTTCTCCACAAAAGTGGAGACCTGAAGGCCCCTTTTCACTTCGTACTCTCTTTCTTTTAGTTTAACCTGGCAGTGTGGTATAAATACATAAAAAGCTTTGTGGAGTTTTTGCGAATCTTGTTGCATTTACTCCATTAGAGAAAATCCATGCCAGGCATAGGTAGTCTACCATGTCCCTGTGAGGTGCTCTTGGGACAACACCTGTAAGAGTCTTAGAAGCCCTTTTATAATGCAGAGGTTCTGCCAGGCAAGCTCTTCAGATCCTCTACAGCCTTAGGTGTGTGTGAAAGTACTGGTGAAATACCACCTCACATCTTCTGAAGTCTTAACCCAGGGACCCTGGGTTTGGTCCTTGCCTTGAAGCCGTTTCTTGGTTCGAGAATTATTTGATGTCTGGAGAGACCGGAAGTGAGAAATAATTGTATTCTTCGTATTGTTTTTGGCTTTTTGAGACAGGGTCTTGCTGGGTAGTTGAGGTTCACCTTGAACTCACTATGTAGCCCAGGCTGACTTCAAATTTGCACAGCCCTTCTGCCCCAGTTTCCTAAGTGCTGGGATATAGGTTTGCACCACTGTGCCTGGCTTAAGTTTTATATTTAATAGTGTTTGTTCCTTAGCTCATCTCTCTCAGCTCACATTTTATCAAAGTATTCTGTTTGGAAATCTCTTTAGCTGGATCATTGAGTTCATTAGGAACATTTCTATTTCCTTCTTTACCATAGATGTCAGTGTCATTGTATAACAAGGCTCTCCTTTCCTATAGCTTCCAGTAATATCCTCCTCCCTTTCCTTTAAGCCCTTACTGACAACTGTCTTAAAACAACAGTCATTTCATTATCTTGCCTTGTTTTTGTGTGTCAGGAATTTGGAAAGCACTTGTCCTAACTTCTGTCTCTCTGTGCTTTCTATCAACCTCTGAGGAAGGAAGCGAGGCTGACTACTGTGGGTTCCTGTGGTGGCTGTGGCTGTAAGTCGCTCAGTGTCACTTAGGTGTCAATAGTGACTGAGGCAGTTGACATACTGATTGCTTCCTGCTTTGTTACCCCCAAGTCCCACTATGTCTTCCACTGTGTTTTCAGAAACCCAAATCCGACCATTCTCCCTTGTCCCCTTAGTTGCTTGAATGCTTTTTTCATTGTCTGAGTTTCGAACTCTGATGGGGTGTACAGCAGAAGGAGTGAACTTCACAGGCCAAATTTGTGCCACAGACATACATTTTCAGGCTGAACATTCATTAACATTTTAGAAATCAAGAACATTTGCATAAAAATCTA